TAAGACTTGAGACTTTCAAGGGAATTTTCTATACAGAAGCTATATGTTATCTTCGTGTCTAAATAAATCTCGTAAATTATTAATTTTTTATGAAATTAATAGTTTATGAGATAATCGTACTTTTAGGCACAAAATAATAAGATGACTCAATTAGTACAAAGAAAATGCACACTAGTAGTGGCTTAAAAAAATGTAGTTGCATATTGCAAAATGATTTTTTAAATAAAGTACCGTGTTTTCTTTACATCACTGACTACATTTACCCGGCAATCTTAATCGGATTTAATAATAAATCCGTAATTATGAAACTGGCCAATCACAGTCGATCCATTCTTCCGATGAATAGCTATGAATAGCTAATTTCGAAACTACGAATGTTATTAAACCCGATTAAGCGTGTCGTTACAGAGGTCAATGAATTCATCTCATTATTATATGCATAAAAATATTAAGGCATTAATTAAAAAGTTTATAAGATATGTATTTCATGTCAAAATATAACAGAATAAAATGTATAACTTGTTAACTATTGATAATTTTGATAATTTTACTTTAATGCTGATTCTACAGTGAGATCTACAATGAGTAGTCAATAGTCCTAAGGCTTATTGGTGAAGTTGACCAACTTGTGCGACTAACATTGATTGATCAATTTTATCGATTAAGATTAGGACTTTTAATTACAGACTCATTATAGAATCTCTCAGCATAATACTTTAATATGTATAACTAGAAGAATCATAATATGTAAAAAAAATTATACAATTTAAAAAAAACAAAGATGATCTTTAAATCTTTGAAGTTACTTCAGTTACGAAAAGCTAACATCATCATATGATATCTTCGATGCCAAATAGATAATAAAAAATAAAAATGTTATAACTTTACTTAGTTTTAGAAATTGACTGTGTTCTATTAATTTTTTCCAAATACTGAAGCTCTTCAGTTCATATTACACATACTATAGATTTTCAGTATTCACAATGAATAACGGAATGCAGTTATTAATGAATTCAGTCATTTGCATTGTACTAGATTAGCACTAAAAGCTGCTATACGTGACAGCAAAATTAAATGTAAAAGCATATAAAAATTTTAAAAGATTAAATGCCTGTCATTATTAATAACATTATTTAAAAGAATATGTATATATTATTTCATTGTCAAAGTTGATTATATTATGCTACTATATTTAGATACTTTACATAAAACTGCTTTTTGTGTGTACTGATCTAGTCTAGTATGATTATGAAGTCTATAGGTTTGTTCATGTCATATGCTCAAATATGTTCCAACTATAATTCCTAATCACTTCAACATGCTCGTTGAAGTCAGTAAAAGCTATGATAGAAATATATCGGAGCATATTGGAACACACGACGTAAATAAATCTTATAAAATAATCTGTAACACTTTTAGACCGTGAACAGAAACTTCACCTGGATGCATCCAGATGTCATATTATTTTTGTTTAACATTTGGTAAATAATCGGGATAAAATGATACCAGGTGAAGTTACCAACACAGCTCTGATAAAATAATATATCCATTTTGTATATATGACATGTATGATAATAGATATAATAATTTTCATTGATAATGTACTTAATAAACATATGTAAAGATACTTCAGACAAAATAGTCTCAATTCTTTCATATATAATAAAATGAATATACAATTACATAATTCTAAGTTGATTTAATAAGTACTAAGCTTGTGTGAATGTAACACAAATATCAGATAACTACATTTAATACCGATCATGATACAAATATAAGCTAGGATAAGAAAGATAATATACCTTGTTAGGTTTGCGTCCAAATCTTTCCATAAAATCGCTCTCCCACCGTTTCACACAAAGCTTATTTTTCAAATATTTAGTTTTAAAAATGGGATCCTCGAAGAGGTCCATGTTGCCGAAAAAAATCAAAAATATGAACGAAACTTATCACCCTCGAAGATCGAACACATGAATTGGAGGTTAGGACCTATTCTAGAGTAAGCTATCTATTCTATTTCTCCCGCGTAATGACCGCAGCACAGGCTGTGTTCCAAAATTCACTGCCAGCATTGAAAATCTACAGTCTACGTCACATGTACTATACATTTTCAGTACTAATAGTGAGTTTTGGAACACAGTCACAGTTCGCGTTCAGCAGACTCAATTGTTGCAGAGTGGATCCATGAACATTCGTTGCTATTGGCTGATCTAGAAAAATACACCAATAGCAGCGAGCGCTCATGGATCTGCTCCGCAACAGTTGAAGCGGCAAGCAGACTCTTACATAACGCATAACACGTAATGCCTAAGAAAATATACCAATCAAAGTCCTTCGTTTTCTTTCTTTCCATGAAATAAAGAATTCTGATTGGTTGGATTTCTTATGTCTTATATGTTATGAATTATGTTAGAGGCTCCGCACAATAAAAGAAACAGGAAATAGAGAACAGAAGTTTAACCTATCAGAAACTGTGTATTCCACAATACATGATAGATTTCTGATAAGGTTAAAATTCTTATTCTCTGTTCTGTGTTGCCTGTTCGTTTTATTGTGCGGAGCCTCTAAGGATGCGGAAAACAACTGCGGAATAGAGAATGCGCCATAAAAGCAACCAATCAGCGTTATTCTACGTTATTCAAAATAATGCAAATTTCGCAGTCTTTTTCCGCACCGTGTGATTTCACCCTAAGAGTGTGCGCTCCTCTGCTTGAGTCTGCCGAACGCGACCATGCAATCTCTTCCACTTGGTTCAAACCTTCAAACTACAAATTTCATCCGCTGGAATTGACTGGAACACCAACGAAATACTATTAAAGACCGTCGCCCCTGGGCAAATTTTCATGATTATTCATTACATAAATAAATAATTATCAATAAGGCCCGAAGGACCCGGCGATAATTGAAGAACAATGTCGTTACCGACAATGAATAAAAATTCAAGATTAACATAGATATTTCAATAATACATTATTAAATTCGTAATTTTTCATTATATGAATGCTGTATAAATAAGTATGCTTACTTTTAATGCTATAATATCTGAAATATTGTCGAAAAATTACAATTCTTTCTCTGCAGTTATCATCTCTATTGATAATCAAATCCGGATGATAGCATTAAAATCAGTTTTAAATCGAAATCGAGTATTATTAAATTTAAACGTTTAAAAGTTTAATGTACATGTGTCTACGGAACTAATAAATCATGAAATTAGTACCATATTATTAGTTTCTTACTCTCACTTAAATTTTAACAGGTACGCCAAATTACATAAGCGCCGACCGTCTTTAACAGTATCTCGTCAATGACTGGAATAACAGCGACTTATCTGTCGCTTCAATTGCTTATTTTTGCAGCACACGAAATTGTACCTTTAATCGGAATTAGTGAAAGAAGTCCTATACTGTAATACTATTCTAGAATGGAAAATAAAAATGAGGAATTGCGTGAAACAGTGACACTAATTCTTAAAGCGGAGCGATTCGAGGTTGAGAAACAAAAATTGATCAGCAAGAGTCAATATTTTGCTGCGCTTCTGTCCGCCAACTATTCAGAATGTAATCAGACGGAACATATTATCAATTATGATATTGCCCAGCTTTCATTACAGGTTAGTTTATTAAACTAAAGCAATTCTTGTTCATGTTTAAGAATAAGAATAAATGGTAATTATTTAGAATACTTCTCCTCACTTTAAATCTTAATGTAAATATACTCATTCGACGCGTTTTCAGTCAAAACGAAAGAATCTGGCAGAAAAACGCCAGATTCAAACGCCGATCCAAACTTGATACAGCGCTGTGTATACATTCTGCATTAATTACACAAATTATCTGCTTTAAAAGCACAAATTCACTGTTTTAGAAATACAAATTCACTGTTAGAATTCACAAAAAATTTTGAATGCTAGTAGTAGTGAATTTGTGTTTTTAAAGCAGTGAATTTGTATAAAGCAGAACATACATAGAGTTGTATCGAGTCCGAATGACAGATATCTTAACCTCTAAAGTCTGCAACTTCAACGCCTAATAACTTGATTTATGGAGCTACGTTTTTCTGCCATGCCCAATTTTTTTGTTTTGAGTAAAAATGTGTCGAATGAGTATATTTTTATGAAGATTTTAGGGAAGGGTGGGGGGTATTATAAATAATTACCAGGTAAGGTTCAATTTCACAACCCACTATTAACTCTTAAAACCCAATTTCACAATATATGATTACCTAAAGATTAAAAATGATCAAGAAATTCATAAATGAATTTCATTGATGAATCTGTTGATAACTTTTAATTTTTAGATAACCATATATGTAAAAATGAGCCCCTAACCGAGATTCAATTTATTTCTCATTTTTTTCCAATTCTAGAATTGAAAAGAAATAATGAATAAGTTGAACCTCGATTAAGAGTTAATCATCAACTAAGAAACTGGACCTAAATGTTTATTTTAACCCTCCTCCTTTCAATATTGATGAAATTAGGGTCATTGTTTAGCTTACATAAATAAAAATTGATAAAAAATACATCAATTGATGCGTTTTTTCGTGAAATAAATGAATATGGCAGGAAAAAATGTCGCTCTGTTCTGTAAACCAAGATTTTTATCATTAAAGTTGACTTAGTTGACAACTACTGAAGTTAGGAAATGTGTCACAGCCATACACCAATAGATCTGTTAGCGTTGCATAAAATTCCCAAACATTCAAGGCTAGATGTAAATCAGCCAATGATAGCCAATACAGTTTAGGCGTGTGTGAAATCGTATACTTTATTTTTGAGAAAAATTGACAAACATTTTAACTCTTTCGATTGGGTCTTCTTCAGTGTCAAAATAAAAATAAAATCGGTGACGTATAAATTTAATATAAAAGATACGATGCAAAGCAAATGGAGTATCATTAACATATATTCATAAATTGATAATAATGCTATCTGTCGTATCTAACAAAAAATACTCACATCTGACATTTCAAATTATCTGTAATTTAATAAAGTTGAATATAAGTCATTAAAACATAAATCAAATTAATTCAACAAAAAACTTACGTATAATAATGTTAACGATGATCTGTGAGATAAGACATATTAGCACAAAGACGTTCAAAGAGTATGTGAGAGATCAAAATCAATTGTCGTTAGTCATAGGTATAAAACATAGTGATAAATAAATACAATATAAATATAACGTGGTAATAAATAAATACAATATATATATATACATGTTTTCTATAATAAATCCCCAAATATTTTTGCACTTAAAATGAGATAGATACATATTTTACCTTAAAGAGAGAAATCGAAGATATCGAGTGCCAAAAGTACAAGCAACGCGAACAGACCTATTATCAGAATATGAGCATACGCTGCGATCATCTTTTATGATGCTCTGTGACCTCATGCACATACGTTTTGGGTATTTGTTTGCTTTAAAAACACAAATTCTCTACTTTAAAAATAAATTTATTGCTGTGTAAAAACACTAAAAAATTATATAAGAAAATGATTTGTGTTTTTAAAGCTGCGAATTTGTTTTCAAAGCAGAGAATTTGTATTTATGAAGCAGAGAATTTTAAGGTGGTTTTTTAGTAAAGTGCTGAATTGGGGTGCCAGGGCTCATCCAAAATTATAAATATCTATAATTTGGATAAAATATTAAAACTATGTGTATATCTTAATGAAATAATAGGAAACAGTAGAACGCAGTATAGTAAATCAGGAGCCGCAGCTTCACTGAACAAAAACAAGATGAGATTATGTTACATGTTTATGCACGTAAATATCTTTCCAGAATGGCCATTGGACTTATTACTTTTTTGTGACCATTAAAATCATAATTTTTTAAATTATTATAATCACGTTTTTGAGCAAAATCTATGGTAAGATTTGTGTACAGTTAGTCAAAGAACCGTCTGCGAGCCGTATTTATCACTAAATTATACGTGAACTTACATTTTCAAAAATTTTTTTCTTTTATTTCATTGTAACTTACCGTAAAGTTTTGCATACGTCAATTTCGATACTTCAATTTCATTATATAAAAAAATTAGACATTTCTACGATAACTCGATTTACTAAAGAACCATTTTAAAACGGATAAATACCTAGGGTGCGTTCCCAGTTACGCGTGAAACATATAATGTAACGTTTTATGTTTTATTAATTGATTAACAACAAAGACAAATGATGCATCATATGCTTCGTGCGTAACTCGGAACGCACCTTTAAAATACTGCGAAAAATACCTATGCATGTGCATGTGACCATTTTTTCTGCTAGATTTATTTATTTTATGGAGAAACACGTCAATTGATATTTTTTTTATTGATTTTTGTTTATACATATATGCTAAACAATCACCGAAATTATATCATGTTTTATAAATATAAATTCATCTTATTGTATGCAACTGAAATAAAAAATTTTGTAGGATTTTATTAATTGGATTCACAATGATAAAATTGATACTTCTACGATACATTATGATATTAAAGAATTTGATCGCCTCTTGGTCCTGTTGGAGTTAAGCATTCTATTTGCAGTAGATAATTTAATAGAAGATGTAATTGACAGACTTGAAAGATATTATATGTCACCAAAATATGTAATTAATATTTGGTTAATATCACAAGATTTGAATATTAATGTGCTACGAGATCTTTCTTTGGCTGTTTGCTTAGATCGTTTCGATGAACTGCCAATCAGTTCAATTTATGAACTGTCAAGAGAAAATTTTCTGAAATTACTTGGGAACATTAATATAAGATCCACGGAATCTTATTTATTTCATGTCATACATGAGTGGATGAATCATCATTGTGTGAGTATATTTTTAAGATAATTAAAAAAAAAAAGTAATTTTGTTGTGATATCATGCATTTTGTATTTTTAACCGTATAGCAGCACTAAGTTTTTTTTACTGTCAAATTTTATTTAAAATAAATTTTTTTAGTTTATATTTTTACATAAGCTTTCCTGTCCAATTTCTTCATAACATAATAGTTTCACAGAATAAAAATTCCTTTTTCACGATTAAAATATACATACTGATGTACCTGGCGTTAGTGAGAAAAGAAAGATTACGAAGTAAATGTTTTCATAAATTGAGCATTGGTCATCATTTTGAAGTAAGAATAGGTACATAAATCTGTAATTTTTTAGTTTTTTCCTGCTTTGAATACAAAATACACCAGTGCCAGATTAGACATTAGCATGTGTATTTTAATCGTGGGAAAGGAATTTTAATTTGATGAAACTAATGTATAGTAATTAGAAATATTTTTTATCGATAAAAAGATGAGTACAGCATCACCTTAATACATTATAACTATATACATAATAATAAATTTTTTCTTTTTGCAGGATTTCACAATTCCTATGGATATCTTAAAAAATAAAGAAATAAAAGTTTTACACAGTATTATATCTTGTGAAAGTAGTGATATTATTAACAGTGAGCAATTTATTCATTGCTGGGATGGTAACGATTTCTTTGAACTTACTTCATTTAAATATCCCAAAGATATTACTGATCGTAGCACTGGTAAAAATATATTAACAGGAATGCAGATTATTGCAAGAAGTATACAATTTTTTTTATTCTGTCATATTTATATAGAACGACATTGTTCTAATTATTCATTATTTTATGTGAGTTTTTAGGATATAATTTATATCTTTGTGGTGGGGAATTTGGTATTGGTTCAGGCAGATTTAACAAAAATGTGTGGCGTTATTCTTTGATATCTAAGAAATGGTTTCTTGAGACAGTGTAAATATGTTAAAGAAAAGATTAAATATAAATGATAAAGGTAATAGAACAAAGTGAATAATTTTTTGAAATATTTTAGTATGCCAATTGAAAGAAGACATATGGTTACTGTGTTTTTAAAAAATAAATTAATACTTGTGGGCGGTGTGGGACGATATCGACAAAAACTGCAAAGTATTGATATCTACGATGTTCACACAGGTGATTTTGATTGTACAGCTGCACAATGTGTATTTCATTAATATGAAAAGTATATGTAATAAGTTATTTGAGTGTATATATAGAGGGATTAAGGTTGCCGACATACTACTTTGTTCTTAGACAATATTTAAAAAAAAAACTAGATAAAAACTTTGGAAACATAAATACAACCCGTTAAACGAGAACGTATTGAAATGAATTCAGATTTTCATTTTCAAAAATATGCATTCGGGAACATTAAAATGAATCTTTTTCAAGTCGAATGCATTTTTATTCATTTATACGAATTGAATGAAACACATTTCTATACCTCTTTCAATCAAAAAATAATATTAACTTTTCTGTATCTCGTGAATACTTCTTAATTCAAAATTCTGAATAGGAAGTACAGTTTTTTAATTCAATTAAATTCAATTTAATCCAATTGAATAAAAAAAATTTCGTTATTTAAAATACGTATTTGGATAGATAAAATTTCGATCCATTTTAATCCATTCTCATTTACTCGGAAACTATAGAATTCATTTTTAGCTAATTTTGTATAGAAACAAGCCACAAATATATGAATTATGACTTTTTCTTTATCTAAACAGTCATCTAAACAGTTATGTTTTTATCAGCATTAAAGTGCAATACTTAGTTTCCGAGAAATAAAGGAGTGTCTCTGACAGACTTATATTAGACATAGAGACTCTCTAATAAGAATCACGACATGAGAAAGTCGCGTTGATTGGTCTGCCATGTTTCAGAGGAATATATTCTCGCACTATATTTACATACATTATATTTGTATCACTTTTAAATTTCAACAATGTAAGCAAAATTAGATATTTTAAGAATATTAACACATAAATTTCTTTATATTACGTGTTGAATTAATACTTGCAAAAAGAATTGTTTAATTTTAACACACAGTTTTTTACAAAATTATTCTGAAAATTAAAAAGTTTGATTATGTATCTTAAAATGATGTTAAAATTACAAAAGTGAACAAGTGTTCAATGCAATATTTGTAATTTCATTAGTAGGTACCTAATAAATTTACTTAATAAATTTTACTCAGTTCTGTAACTTTCACGTTTCAAGATACACAATCGGTACGTAAAGAAAAAGAAATACAATTTTTGTATACCCTTAACATTTATTTTACAAATTATTGTGCATCGCCATCGACTTACTATCATATTTTTTATACGTGTACGTACGCACACGTGTTCCGTTTCTGCGGGTTTAAGGATTAGGGATCTCATTCTTGAAAAAAAACTTATACAAAAAATTAGGGAAATATTATAATATAGGTTGCGTATACTATAGTATATCCTTAATTTTTCGTATACGTTTCTTTTCAAGAATAAGGGCCTAGGTTAAAGACACATTAAAGTTAAACAGAGATACAATATATTCCTTTTTCGGTTATAGATTTTATTGAAACTAGTACCTTGCATACAAAAGTCGGCTCAAATCAGCTCGTGACTTTTATCAAAGGGTCTCTGATCAGACACATGTCGGCGATTTTCCTCTAGTAATTTCAAATAAAGATTATTATGTATAACTTTTCAGATTATATAGAGTTATTTCTCACAATTATCATTTTTTTAATTTAGCTTTAAAATTATTTGTTTATTAATAAAAAATATTATTTTATTTATTAAAATATTTGCTTTTAAATTTGAACAATGTATATGTAGACGTCGAATGCAAAGGTATTTTAAATTTTCATAATGTTCTTAAATTTTTTTCTTTTAATGACGCAGGTTTGTGGACATCAGGTAAAAAAATGGACTGGGAATTTACCACAGTTCCTGAATATTACGTTTTTGATGAAAAATTAATAATATATACATATCAGACTTTACCAAATAACATTTTAGATGATTTCATTGCTATGCCTCGTAAGTAAAATATTAGCAGAATGTTGGGAGACTCGCAGCAGATTTAAACTGTGTTCAGACACACTGCTATTATTGAAATATCTTTCTTCGCGCATGCACGATGGAGAACGCACTTGGATCACAATACGTGCGTTCTTTTCTACCTGAGTTTTACCCCCATTTCCCGAATTTCAGAGAATGCTCAGTCTAGTTGTACTATGTTTATTAAGTTCCAAAAGTGTTCATTAGTTCATCCACAGAAAACAAACCTAATGACTGCATGTTGCGTATACGAGCGTGGATTACTCGCATAGCGTTAGGTAGATGCGTTCTCAATTAAGATTCATGTAGCTTGCACGCGTGCGAGCAATATGTGCCTTATCTGAATTACTTTAAAATGTTTAAATATTTCATTTACTCGGAAAGCATCTTAAAAAAGAATAATACTTTTGTCTTAAAACCCTTGAGGCTCACTTAAAAAATTATTTCATTAAAATTGAAGAATCTTTTAATACTACGTTTTCTTTATTCTATTCCGTGTTCTGAGAAATATCTTATCTTTTTGCCATAAAAAAATATATAACGAACTGTTCAAAATCTATCTCTGCAGGTTTGAATATATGGGTTAACATCTATTTTCCTGATGAAAACACATGGGAAACAAAAACGGGTTTTAATATGGATTATTCTCGTCGATTACCCCCATTTATGCCAATATTGACGCTCAAAACTCTACCATGTTACATTGGTAAATATAATTTATGTATTAATACTATGTAGATGTGAAAAAACTTAAAATTTACTTTGGCATATTTTGCAGATATTAATAATCCAGATAAAATGGTTTTAAGAACTATCACAGAGACGTGCAACATGGAAATATGTGATCATGTACAGACGATCGAACGTCTCGTATTCGAAAATGGAAACGATTCAAATCGTAAATACGTATTGCACACAAAATGTGATGCGTATCTCTCTATTTTAATATTCCCATGCAACCGTGTACTAGTATGTATGGATTCGAACACTTCTATAAAAATAAATACGTTACACTTCCATAATATTCCTATACGAAATCCAAATAAATTCCGTTCCTTGCTTTTTTCTCATTCACCCAGAAAATTTTTTGATTTAATTCATCCAGCTCACTTACACACGACAAATTTGAATCATATTTAATGTATGTATGCTTTCATTGATTGAATATTTAGTGATTCAATATATTTGAGAGAGAGGGGGGAGGGAGGAGGAAGAGGAGGAGGAGGAGAGAGAGAGAGAGAGAGAGAGAGAGACCTATATAAACTTCAGTAGAATATGAATGAAATATTTGAAACATCGCAAAGAAATGGATAGTATATCACGTTTCAGAAATATGTTAACTATTTTTATCTGCTATATATATCGCGATGTTCTCTACCAATTGTCATTTAACTCATTATAAAATGCTGAATTGTATAAGCTTTGTATTACTATATGCAAATGATTTTATATATAATTTTGTATGTATGTAATTTTTACATTTTTCAAATATACAAACATTTTCTGGTACGACTTTTCTTCCTAATTTCATAAAAAGAATCGAGTCTTTCGGGAAAAGCAGTATGGCTTTCTTTCTGTTTTATTATTATTTCAATCTTTATGGAAAGAAATTGTTTGAGTCCATTAATTCAATCTTTGCTTTGGAGAACTAATCTTTGTTTTTTTTTTTTGTGAGAGAAAAGCTTATTGTTAGTATTTAGAAGATTCTTTATATTGATGCAGTATCGCTATATTCTTAGTGGGAAATTTCAGAAGATTATGTTTATATAATTGAATATTTTTTAATACATATTTAGAAATCTGTCTTAAATGTCCTGTTTTATATATATATATATATATATATATAATATATTATATATAACTCTTAAGAGGATCCTAGACTGTCTGTATTACCATATAATTTTTGTATAACAATTACTTTTTTCCTCTTTTATAAATTTAAAAATCATTTTCAGGATTAAAGCATACGAATTAATATGTGTCTGTGTGAGGTAGAGTTTATGCCGAGAATGTAAAAACATTTTATAAATTGAGATCTTTATCATTTCTTAGTCCAATATGGCGCTTATCTAGAGCTATCACATCGTAACAATATTTTCTTCATAAAAGTGCTGTGCAGTCTGTATGATCTACTTACCACAGAGTAATAGAAAAGAGTAAAATCTCTGCAATTCATTTTACGACTCTGCAGCGGTAAAAAAATTCGTGGCCCTGACAACTTCATTTTTTCGGTTGTGATGGCTACAAAATAGCAGACTCAACTTAATACCGTGCAAAGAAAAAGTGGGGATACTTTGGGCGCCGAACTGACAATGAGAGGGAATCTACTGGGAAAGAATAACTTACCAATTTAGGCACTATTTATAAAAAAGCAGTTAGCTGTACCAATAACTGTACAGGCTGCACATGTTTGTTTCTCCGATTTGCGCTTCTAATTGTGAAGATGTCTTTTTTTATTCAGACATTTTTAAATCATGTACATTTTCATTTAATAAATACAATAGCATTACATATATTGACAGTTACAGACGACTTTACCGTATCTCTACAATTATAAAAAATACTGCTGTACTTACTGCTCAACTGACTGTCAAAAGTGTCAAAACATAATTTATCATGCAATTTGTAGACACTACGATACATTCATATTCGCTGACAACATCCGATCAGATTTTAAAAGCTTAAACACAATAGGCACAAGCAATAGGGAATAACAAACTGTCCAATCAGAGCTCTGGGGTATAATATCAAACACCAGCAGAGCTCTGATTGGACGACTCGTTATTCACCTCGAAAAGGAAGTTTTGAAATAATATATAATTAATAATCAAACCCACCAATATTACGTTAATTTCAAGCGTGGCTTAAAACTCTCTCCCTTTCTGTCTCTCAATCGGCTTTAAAAAAAAGAAAGAGAGATTTTTAAACTTTGCTTAAAATCAAAATAATGTTGGTGCAATCGGGATTTGTAATCACTTAAATTTTAACAGGCACGCGAATTTTCATAAGCACCGATCATCTTGTCGGTGCCGAAGCGACACGGGCATTAGTGTACAAAACAATTTGTTTTACACGGTCACACGCAGTTCTCGACGCATGCGTATAATGCAACATCAAATTGGGGGGTCACTCTTTCGAATGAGTTAGTAGTCTAGTAGTATATATGGAAGTCTGTGGTATGCACATGCGTTAAAAAAATGTTTGTTTATAGTTGATAATTGTTCTAATAACGCTAAACATGATGGATTATGAATTTAAAATGAAGACGCAAAAAGACCGCACGAAGGTCGAGGATCTGTTTGAGTTTGAGGGTTGCAAGGTTGGAAGAGGTACATACGGGCACGTATATAAAGCTCGTCGGAAAGAAGGGTTAGTTTTTTTAACCTAATTTCTAATTACTTTACGAAACTTCCTTGATTTCTTATGTGCTTAGATTATTTTACATTTAACAGTATAAGACAGGGAGCATATACTCTTGCATAACGCATAGTACGTAATGTACAAGAACATCGTTCTGCTTCCTTAGATTAATCTTGGATAAAAAACCTATCGATTAATTGTCCTAAAGGTCTCTGAATTGCATTGGAGCCATATTTATTTCCATATAAAAGGATGTGCTGTGCTTCGATTATCTTCTGTTGAAGATTTTTTGAATACGAGAAAGTGTATTTATTCGCTATTGAAATTTACATTTTGCGTTTATCTAATTCTTGATTACCTCGTCCCATTTGTCTAATTACAGAGATTTTTAATACAATCACTAATTTTTCATTAAAATTGTTATACTGATTCTACAATGGGTACTTTTCATATAGTGACACAAGTTGACACAGGTATTATTTCATCTTTTTTTTACATTTAGTAAATGATAAAGATATAACTATGCTTATGTCAAATGGAAAGCACCTAGGGAGTTGCTAATCGGTAGTTATAAGTCTTATTGATGAAGTTGATCAATAGCCTACTTGTATGACTAATGCTGATTGGCCAATTCATCAATTAAGACTTCCGATTACAGATTCATTGTAGAATCAGCATTAAGCTTACAATGAATCAGTAGTCTGTAGTCGGTGAGTCAGAAGTGAATCTGAAGGATAATTGTTGAATAAAGTTTGGTCAGCAGCCAACTTTTAAGAAACTTTTTACAATAAGCCATTAGTAATAAGTCAGAAGATAGAAATTGAGCAATCACTTGAATTTATTGTGACTTGTTATAGTAGTAGCCCATAAGATTACTAACTACCAAATTATTATAGATCCGGACTTACATTAAGATTTAAATGAATAATGTAACCATTTAGATTTACATTATTTTGACATATCCATAATTTTTTCTTTTTTTTTTTTTTGAAAAAATTAAACAATTTATAAATAATAAAGAGCATACAATCAATTGATACATATACAAATATGTAATGAGACAATTAAACAATTATTTCATTACATATTTGTATATATATATATCAATTGAATATCAATCAAATTAAAATACCTATTGGTTAAATCATAATATGCTTTAGTTTTGAGAAATATCCTATTCTCTGTAAATTTAATATTAATATGTTGGAAATAGTGTTTCAGATAGCGAATTAAAGTCTCGGCCTGATACAAAAGATTTTGGCCTCAAGCAAATTGAAGGTACAGGACTTTCGATGTCTGCATGTCGAGAAATTGCTGTGAGTTATCTCATTATTTTTAAATGATGCAAAAATATTTGTTCGCAAACACAATGGAATATTTCACTTATTTTCTTTTATTCTAGTTACTCAGGGAACTGAAGCATGTCAATGTGATTACTCTTATTCGTGTTTTTCTCTCACATAATGATCGTAAAGTTTGGTTGTTATTTGACTTTGCTGAGCATGATTTATGGGTACGTGTTTATAATTTTAATTTGAAAATAAAATATTTTTAGGCACATTACAATAAATATTTTATAGTAATATTTAATGTATTTGCAGCATATAATTAAATTTCATAGAGCAGCAAAAGCTAATAAAAAACCAGTGATGGTACCCAAAGGCATGGTTAAATCCTTATTATATCAAATTTTAGATGGTATTCATTATTTACATTCCAATTGGGTACTTCATAGAGATTTGGTAATTATTTTTGACATTATTAAACGTTCTCATTTTTTTATTTTTATCACTTGCAAATTTTGTAATAAAGTACCAATTTTCTTTATTTCAGAAACCAGCAAATATCTTAGTCATGGGTGAAGGAAATGAGCGGGGACGTGTAAAAATTGCCGATATGGGCTTTGCTAGATTATTTAACGCTCCTCTTAAACCTTTAGCAGATTTAGATCCCGTTGTAGTTACATTTTGGTATAGAGCTCCCGAATTACTTTTAGGAGCCAGACATTACACAAAAGCTATAGGTCTGTCTATATCTATATTATATATTCTTATAATTTATATAAAATTGTACTGAATATTTTATTTTATCACTGCAGACATATGGGCTATCGGCTGTATATTTGCAGAACTTTTAACATCCGAACCTATATTTCATTGCAGACAAGAAGACATTAAGACAAGCAATCCATATCATCATGATCAACTAGATAGGTGAAAATATAATTTGTATTTATTTTATATGATATGGAGAATGACATAATTTTTATTTAGGATATTCAATGTGATGGGATTTCCATTGGAGAAAGATTGGGAGGATATAAAAAAAATGCCAGAGCATCCTACACTGCTCAGAGATTTTAAGAGATCCAAGTGAGTTTGTCAGTTCAAAACATACTCCATCAATGTTTTATTCGAAATTTTTTAATATTAATTCTTTTTTATTTTTAGTTACGCAAACTGTTCACTTACTAAATATATGGACCGGCATAAGATCAAACCCGATAGCAAGGCATTTAATTTGGTATGATATATAAAATAAATATACAAATTTTGTAGTATATCATCTTATCATATTATTGTTTAGTTACAGAAACTATTAATGATGGATCCAAACAAGCGTATTACGTCAGAACATTCAATGCAGGATGCCTACTTTCAGGAGGAACCACTGCCAACACAGGAGTATGAATCTATTTCTATATTTTTACATTATAATTTTTTTTTAATCTCAATTGCATTTAACATGAAAATTTTAGCATATTTGCCGGATGCCCTATCCCTTATCCTAAGAGAGAATTTCTTACGGATGACGATACTGAAGAAAAGACTGAAAACAAAGCGAGGCAAAATCAGCAACAAACAGTAATTATTTCCGATATATATA